CATCTCCCCTTACTTCCACCCCTCCACCCCCCGTGCACCCAAGTGTGCCTGGGAATCTTGTCTACTTCCAATATCCAGGAGGATAACTATATGATTTTCTTCAAGTTCACCTTTTCATTTAGCTTCTCTAGGATCAGGAATTATAGGCTCAAAGACCTTTAACTATGGCTAGAATCCACATATGAGTGAATACATACCATATTCCTCTTTTTGGGTCTGGGTTACCTCACTCAGTAAAGCGTTTTCTATTTCCATCCATTTGCATACAAAATTCAAGATGTCATTGTTTTTTACCACTGAGTAAAACTCTAATGTGTATATGTTCGACACCTTCTTTAACCATTCTTTTGTTGAGGGGCACCTAGGTTGTTTTCATGTTCTGGCTATTACAAATAGTGCAGCTATGAACATAGTTGAATAAATACTTTTGTAGTATGATAGGGCATCTCTTGGGTATAATCCCAAGAGTGGAATTGCTGGGTTCTTATACCAATACCAAGCTATTTTCAATACTGTAGCTCTGTAATAGAGTTTAAAGTCAGGGATGGTAATGCCTCCCGAAGTTCCTTTATTGTATAAGATTGTTTTGGCTATTCTGGGTTTTTTGTTTTTCCATATAAACTTGATTATTGTTCTCTCAAGTTCTGTGAAGAAGTTTGATGAGGATTTCATTGAATCTATAGATTGCCTTTGGTAGAATTGCCATTTTTACTATGTTGATTCTCCCAATCCAAGAGCAGGGACGGTCTTTCCATTATCTAGTACCCTCTTCAATTTCGTTTTTCAAAGACTTAAAGTTCTTGTCAAATAGGTCTTTCACTTTCTTGGTTAGAGTTACCCCAAGATATTTTATGATATTTGTGGCTTTAGTGAAAGGTGATGTTTCTCTGATTTCCCTCTCTGTATTTTTATCCCTTGTGTACAGGAGGGCAACCGATTTTTTGGAGTGGATTTTGTATCCTGCCACATTACTGAAGGTGTTTATCAGCTTTAGGAGTTTTTTGGTAGAGTTTTTGTGGTCGCTTATGTACACTATCATATTGTCTGCAAATAATGAAAGTTTAACTTCATCCTTTCCAATTCGAATCCCCTTGATCCCCTTATGTTGTCGTATTGCTATTCCCAGAACTTCAAGCACAAAATTGAAGAGGGATGGAAAGAGTGGGCAGCCTTGTTGTGTTCCTGATTTTAGTGGAATTGCTTTGAGTTTCTCTCCATTCAATTTGATGTTAGCTGTTGGCTTGCTGTATATTGCTTTTATTATATTTAGGTATGATCCTTGTATCCCCAATCGCTCCAACACCTTTATCATAAAAGGATGTTGAATTTTGTCAAATGCTTTTTCAGCATCTAATGAAATGATATGTTTTTTTTTCTTTCAGTGTATTTATATGATGTATTACATTGATAGATTTGCGTATGTTGAACCAGCCCTGCATCTCTGGGATGAAGCCCACTTGATCATAATGCATAATTTTTCTAATGTGTTCTTGGATTCAGTTTACCAGTATTTTATTGAGAATTTTTGCATCGATGTTCATGAGTGAGATAGGCCTGTAATTCTCTTTCGTGGTTGTGTCTTTATGTGGTTTTGGTTTCAATATAGCTGTAGCTTCATAAAAAGAGTTTGGCAATGACTCTTCTGTTTCTATATTGTGAAATACATTAAGGAGTATAGGTACTAGCTCTTCCTGGAAGTTCTGGTAGAATTCTGCATTAAAACCATCTGGTCTTAGGCTTTTTTTGGTAGGAAGATTTTTGATAACTGTTTCTAATTCTTCATGACTGACAGGTCTATTTAGATTGTTCACCTGTTCTTGGTTCAACTTTGGTATATGGTACTTATCCAAAAATTGTCCATTTCTTTTGCATTTTCCACCTTTTTTTGCATACAGGCTTTTCTGGTAAGATCTAATGATTCTCTGAATTCCCTCTGTGTCTGTTGTTATGTCCCCATTTTCATTTCTGATCTTATTAATTTGCATGTTCTCTCTCTGCCATTGGATTAGTTTAGATAGGGGTTTGTTGATCTTGTTGATTTTCTCCAAGAACCAGCTTTTTGTTTCATTGATTCTGTGAATTGTTTTCTGTGTTTCTATTTTGTTGATTTCAGCCCTCAGTTTGATTATTTCCAGTCTTCTACTCTTCCTGGGTGAATCTGCTTCTTTTTTTTTTCTAGAGCTTTCAAGTGTACTATTAATTCTCCAATGAGTGCTTTCTCAGTTTTCTTTAATTGCGCACGTAGTGCTATGAACATTCCTCTTGGCACTGCTTTCATAGTGTCCCATAGGTTTGAGTATGTTGTGTCTTTATTTTCATTAAATTCAAGGAAGTCTTTAATTTCTTTCTTTATTTCTTTCTTGACCCAGGGGTGATTTAGTAGTTGACTGTTCAACTTCCATGAGTTTGTTGGCTTCATTGTTGTTGAATTCTAACTTTAATCCATGGTGATCTGACAAGACACAAGTGGTTACTAATATTTTTTGTATCTGTGGAAGTTTGCTTTGTTACCAAGTATGTAGTCAATTTTCAAGATGGTTCCATGAGCTGCAGAGAAGAATTTATATTCTTTCCTATTTGGGTGAAGTGTTCTATAGATGTCTGTTAAGTCCATTTGATTCAATACCTCCAATAATTGTCTTATTTCTCTGTTAGGTTTCTGTCTTATTGACCTGTCCATTGGTGAGAGAGGTATGTTGAAGTTTCCTACTATTAGTGTGTGTGGTTTGATGACTGCCTTGAGTTGTAGAAGTGTTTCTTTTACATACATGGGTGCCTTTATATTAGGGGCATAGATATTCAGGATTGAGACTTCTTCCTGATATATTGTTCCTGTTATGAGTATGAAATGCCCATCTCCATCTCTTCTGATTGAATTTAGTTTGAAGTCAATTTTTAGATATTAGAATGGCCACACCTGCTTGTTCCTTAGGTCCATTTGCTTACAAAATCTTTTCCCAACCCTTTACTCTGAGTAGGTGTCTGTCTTTGTGGGTGAGATATGTTTCTTGTAAACAGCAGAATGTTGGATCCTGTTTTAAGATCCAATCTCTAAGTCTGTGCCTTTTTATAGGTGAATTGAGTCCATTCATATTAAGTTATATTAATGACCAGTGGTTGTTGACACCGGTTATTTTTGGGGGGGGGTAGTAGAGTGTATGTGTTTCCCTTCTTTGAGGTGTGCTTGTGAAGGGTGTCTAGATGTCTGAGTTATTGTAGCCAGTGTTGGGAATGTTGCATTCCTTGGGTTGCGATTTTCCTTCTATTACTTTCTGTAAGACTGGATTTGTTGCTATGAATTGTTTACATTTATTTTTATTCTGGAATATTTTGTTTTCTCCATTGATAGTGAACGATAGCTTGGTTGGGTATAGTCATCTGGGTTTGCATCCATGGTCTCTTAGTTTCTGCAGTACCTCTATCGAGGACCTTCTGGCTTTCGTGGTTTCCATAGAGAAGTCCAGTGTAAGCCTGATAGGTTTACCTTTATAAGTTACTTGACCTTTTTCCTTTGCAGCTCTTAATATTCTTTCTTTAATCTGTATGTTTTGTGTTTTGATTATTTTATGGCGAGGGGATTTTTTTTTGTTCCAGTCTATCCAGTGTTCTGTATGCTTCTTGAACCTTCATAGGAATATCGTTCTTTAGGTTGGGAAAGTTTTCTTCAATAATTTTGTTGAATATATTTTTTGGGCCTTTGATCCACAAGTCTCCTTCTTCAATCCCTATTATTTTTAGATTTGGTTTTTTTATTGTGTCCCAGATTTCTTTTTTTTTTGGTTATAGCAATTTACTTCACATAAGGACAGTATATCTCAGGCCTAGGATTTTCATCAAATATCAACAACAACAAAAAAATCTGTACAGAAAACCTAAAGGCAATCATATAGTATAGCATGTAAAATGTGCAAATATACTTTAAAATGCAATTACTGTGTAGTACTTGCAAGGTAGAACTTCATAGCAATTCTAGTTAACCTAGTAATTGTTTGCATGTAGTCAATGCAAATGTCCAAGGCACAACTCAGAGTTGGTACACAAGTGTGTAACACATACACTCATATCATTTATTTGAAGACAGTAAAATAAAATGATGCTATGTTTAATGAGACATTAGTTTATCGCTAAAGTTTCATGAAATACTACACTGATAATATTTGTGTAGCTAGGACAAACTGTTCCCTGAACTTAAAAAGTGAAAGACAAGATTCTCGTTTTCCTATATTAAAAAATTATATATATATATATATGTACACACATCCACACACACACATGTTATACACAGGAAACATCCTAAAGTCCAAAGGGAAGCCATTTTCTTATTATTAAAGGTTCCCATTACAGTATTTCATAACAATTCTTTAAAAAAAACTATACTTCTTTGCCACCTCTTTTGGTCAATCTTGGCTACAAAAAGACACTGAAGGACAGCTTTCCGCTCCGAGGTGAAGATGACTAGCTGAGAAAGTCTGAGTGCACAGTGAAAGGTGTCATGTGCACAGAAAAGCCTGTGGTCTGCAGCGGAATCACTTTATCTACACAGGAAGACTCAACCCATTACAAAGTCAACAAGAGCACTGGCTGTGGCACAAACCCCCTAATTCATCAGTGTGCTCTGTGCTTTACCGCCCATCTCTGAGAGTAAAGATTCTACCGTTTTTAATTTTTAATAAAGCAATTAACTTTACATTGATAAGAATGCTTAAAGATTTTTTCAAGATAATTATCATTAGCTTTAGTCCCATTTCAGTTTCCTTAAGGTAAAAAAGGAAGGGAGGGAGGGAAGAAGGGAGGAAGGAAGGAAAGACATTGCTCTTTGAAAGAGTGCTCTTAAAAATCCTAAATACCGCACATCAAGCCAAGTTTGAGGCTCTCCTCACTATTGCTCGCTTCCTTACAATTTTGTTAACTGGAGAATTTAACAGGTAGTGTAGGAAAAAGTATAACATAAGCCTAAAGAAACATGAAGGGAGATGTATGTTTTCCTGTGTGAAAGAGTTTTACTGGAAATAATCTGAAAGTCATCCAAGAAAGGCAAAATACCTAGAAAAGAGGAAGTGTAGAGTAAACATGTTGTTGCTGCCTTGCACTAGCCTTCCTGACCAAAATCCTCTGTAAACTTCTTTAATTTCAACAAGTCATGCTCATTGACGATAGGTTTCGTGCTGGACAGAGACCGCAGCATGTCCCACATGGAAACAACTGGCTCTAAGAGTTTATCTCCAGGGACATCCATCCATGTCATCTTCACAGCACCGGGGTTTCCTGGAGAGCAGGGGGTCAGCAGGTCATTTACAATGCAGTTAAGGTCAGCTCTTGAGGGTCCACGAACCTTTTTGAAGTGAGTGGCTGACTGAACTTTTCTAACAGGCTGCATAAGAGCATCCCGAACAATGATACTTATATCTGCTCCTGAATAGCCATCCGTCTTCCTCCCAAGTTCTTGGAAGTCTGCTTCTGTGAGGCTGTTCTGAGTGCTGCCCAAGTGCAATTTAAACATGGCTGTACGGGCATGTGCTTCAGGCAAAGGAATATAAATACGTTTCTCAAATCTCTGCCTAATTGCAGAATCCAGAACCCAGGGTATGTTTGTAGCTCCCAGAACTAAAATGCCATCATTGTCCACACCAACTCCTTGCATTTGAACCAGGAACTCGGTCTTAATTCTCTGTGCAGCTTCACTTTCATTTTCACTTCTTGAACTGCACAAAGAATCAATCTCATCAATGAAGATGATGGGAGGCTTATTCTCTCTGGCAAGCTGGAATAAGTTCTTAACCAGTTTCTCACTTTCCCCCAGCCACTTAGAGACAAGGTCAGAGGAAGATATTGAGAAAAATGTTGAGTTGTTTGCTTCCGTTGCAACAGCTTTGGCTAAATAGGATTTCCCTGTTCCTGGTGGTCCAAATAACAGGATTCCTCTCCAAGGTGTCCTCTTTCCTGTAAATAGATGAGGAAATTTAATAGGCAGAATCACAGCCTCTTTAAGTGGAGTTTCTTTGGCTCCTTCAAGACCAGCAACATCACTCCATTTTACATTTGGTCGCTCTATAACAATGGCACCTTGAAGTTGATTCTGTATTTTCTTTTTCTCAGGGTCATCAGACTCTGCTTCTCCATCACTTTCATTCCCCTTCTCATCAACTGGACTCGACTGTTCCTCTTTCACAGGCTTCTGTGGTTTCTTCTCTTTTTTTTTTCAGATATTCCTTCAGTTTTTCTGCTCTATCAAGATATTCGGTACACTTGGCCCTGATACTCTGCTTGGCTTTATCACCTTGTGCTTCATACTTAACGACATGGAGAAAATACTGGACAGCATGATGTAGAGCTGAAGAGCCTCCTCATAGTTCCCAGCCTTGTCTTCCTGGGCTGCTTTGCTTGCAAGATCTATTGCTTTCTGGAGGTTGGTGTTCGTGGATGCCATGGTGGAGCTCAGAGGTCCCTGCGAAGGAGGGCGGGCCGAGGACCACCGGCAGTGGTACCATCGAGTCGCGCTCGGGTCACAGTTGCACTCCTCTGGATGTGGTGGCTCTGAGATCCCGAGCAGCAGCCTCGGCTCTGGAGCCGTAAATCTACGACAGACTCCACCAGCCACTCGACCCTCCCCCGTGTCCCAGATTTCTTGAATGTTTTGTGAAGAAAATTTGTTGGATTTGCCATTTTCTTTGATTGGAGCATTTATTTTCTCTATGGTATCTTCAGAATCTAAGATTCATTCTTCTATCTCTTGTATTCTATTGGTTATGTTTGATTCTGTAGTCTCTATTCGTTTACCTAGGTTTTCCATATCCAGCCGGTTCTCGGTTTGTGTTTTTTTCGTTGCCTCTATTTCAGTTTTCAATTCTTGAACTGTTTCTTTTACCTGTTTTCTTTGTTTCCCAGGGTATACTTCAAGGATTTACTCATTTCTTCAAACTTTTTGTTATACTTCTCATCCATTTCTTTACTCATTTCTTCAAAGTTTTTGTTATACTTCTCATCCAATTCTTTAAGGGAGTTATTCACATCCTGTTTAAGGGACTCTATTGCTTTCATAATGGCACTTTTTTCCACTTATTCTGGATTAAGGTGTTCAAGTTCTTCTATTGTAGGGTCGTTGGGATCTGGTGTTTTCGTGTTGTTTTTCAGACTGTTGGAGGAGGTCTTGCCTTGGCGTCTGCCCATCTCTTCCTTCAAATGCTCTCTATTGGATCTTCTGGTATTGGGTCAGGTTCCCTTGTTGGGCAGGGACTGCACTGACAGAAGACCTACCTTTCCTCAGGCAGGCTATTGAAACACAGGCAGTCCCTCCTTCCGGGTTGCGCCTACAGCCCAAGCCCAGTGTGCAGGGCAACTGAGCTGGGGAAATTTTATGCCCCCCCTCCGATGGCTGTCTGCTCGAAGTCAGTGCCCCTTGCTGGTCAGGAATTTTGCTGAGCTGACACAGAGCCCACCTGTCCTCAGGCAGGCTTTTAAAACACAGGAACTCCCTCCTTCTGGGATGTGCCTACAGCCCAGGCCCAGCGCTCAAGGCAGCTGAGCTGGTGAAATTTTATGGCCACAGGGGGAAGGGGGAAATATAAGAAGGTGTACCTGGATGGAAGGTGGGATGGCAGGTGGGAGAGCTTAGCGGGGTGGAGTCGACATATTCAGGTTTTCAATGGGCTACTGTCTTGAGCTCTGAAAAGGCTGATTCAGTAATCACACATTTAGTAGAAGTTATGGCCATCGTGGGCATTCCTGCAGAAATAAAGACAGACAATGGTTTAGCATATGTATCTAAGAAAATGAAATGATTTTTTGCTTATTATAATATAAAGTACATTGCAGGTATACCAAATAATCCTAGATGTCAGGCAATTATAGAAATTTCAAATTGTACTATAAAAGATATGCTGAACAAACAGAAAGGGATGGAAAATACCCCCAGAAATGATTGCATAATGCTTTATTAATCTTGAATTTTCTTAAAACTAATGAGAAACGAACAACAGTAACAGAGAGGCATTGTGTAATGGAATGATCTTCTGTATTGAATTAACCATTATATTTCAAGAATGTGTTGACTTCACAATGGAAACCAGGAGAGGTGCTACACTGGGGAAGGGGTTTTGCTCTTGTTTTCAAAGGAGAAGAAAAATTATGCATACCATCAACATTAATAAAGATTCATTTCAAAAATGAGAAACCTGTTGAAACAGAGAAATGACAGCTTATCCACAATGGTGACAACCATGCAGGTGGTAAGGAAAGTCATATAGGCTTGGGTCTAGGTTCTGCTCTTATTGTCACTGGAAAATTACATGTCTTCAAAAATTCAAGAGACCCTGTATGTTTGAATGCTAACAGAACAAAAAATAACTATCCACTAAGGATCATCTAGAAAATGGAATATAGATTTTTTATAAAGGAACTGGTTACACTTACATTTGTACACACACACGCAAACACACACATATATACACACACACATATTCAGCTGGTTTTGGAGTTGGACAATGGCTTTGTACTTCTCTAAATCTAAGTGTGTTGTTAAAAGGAACATTCAGAGTTTCTGTGTCATATTAGGTGGCATTTGGTATGGGACAGAAGGAAGACTTTAGGAAAAACTTTACCTTCTTTATGCCTATTTTGTCGATATCATATTCTTCATTGTGTATATGTTTATATGAATGATGTTTATGTTTTCCATGATGAATAATAGAGTTACCTACAGATTCTTTTCCTGCAGTAATCTTTGAAGTTTTTAGGAAGAAGGTGGGTTCCCACAGCAATTACTCAACTTAATTGAGATGACATTGTGATGTAGACAGTGCTACTATAAGATTGTTTTGGGTATCAGCTGCTGAAATAGTGTACCTTCTCATATTCTGGCCAGAACTCTGAATGAGAACTTAGAAAAAAATGAAAAAAAATCTATTGATTGCTTAGAAATTATTTACAATTATACTAGACATTACTTTTGGAACTTAACAACCACTTAATTTTAGCAGGATCCCATTAAGAGAACATTGACCCCATGATAGTGGGAAGCAATTCTAGAAGATGATGCCCCCTATCCCAAAAAAGTTTGTCCATAGGGTTGGGAACCCTGTTTAGGGGTTGTTGATTATTACTAGATAGCGGGTTGGGGAGAAAACTATGTTTGTTCAAAAAAACAGGATAGTATTAGGGGTTAATAGAGTGAATACTTTTGAGCTATTATTTATGTATAATTTACATTGGTATAGCTTTTGTATACTGATACAAGTTCAAATTATATTTGTTGGCACTTTTGTCTCCTGGGCCCTGGGAAGACCAGCTATCCCTGTAGGAGTGCTGAGAAGTTCTACCCGGAGAAATGAGTGGGTGCTAGCCTGGGCTTCCAGCCCGGGAAGAGAGCACAGCCCCTCCCCCCTCAGCTTCTGCTGCAGGGTCTTCCGTGTTTCACCGGACCCCTCCCTGCCCCCACTGCTGCTGCACTCTTGTCTCCTGGGCCATGGGAAGATGAGCTACCCATGTAGCAGTGCTGAGGAGTTCTACCCAGAGAGGTGAGTGGGTGCTAGCCTGGGCAGCCAGCCCGGGAAGAGAGCACAGCCCCTCCCCCCTAAGCTTCTGCGGCAGGGTCTTCCGTGTTTCACCGGACCCCTCCCTGCCCCCACTGCCACTGCACTCTTGTCTCTTGGGCCCTGGGAAGGCCAGCTATCCCAGCTGCAGTGCTGAGGAGCTCTATCCAGAGAGTGCTGAGGAGTTTCATCCAGAGAGGTGTAGATGGGCAGGCGCCAATGCTAGAATTCCTCCAACAACCTGAAAGGCAACATGACATCTCCAGAATCCAGGGAGCATGAAATGAGAAGAATTGAACACCCTACTCCAGAAGAAATAGAAGAAATCTACTCTAAGCAGATCTATATGAAAATAATAGAGGAACTTAAACAGGAGGTGAAAATCTGCCGTAAAGAAATGGAAGATAAGTATAACAAAAAGATTGAGGAAATGAGTAAAGAAATGGAAGAGAAATATACCAAAAAGGGTCCCATAGGTTTGGGTATGCTGTGTCTTTATTTTCATTGAATTCAAAGAAGATATTAATTTCTCTCTTTATTTTTTTCCTTGACGCAGGGATGATTCAGTAGTTGACTGTTCAATTTCCATGAGTTTGTCGGCTTTCTGGGGTTAGAATTGTTATTGAATTCTAACTTTATTCCATGGTGATCTGATAGTACACAGGTGACTATTACGATGTTTTTATATCTATGGATGTTTGCTTTGTTACAAGTTATGTGATCAGTTTTTGAGAAGGTTCCATGAGATGCTGAGAAGAAGGTATATTCTTATCAATTTGGGTGGAATGTTCTATAGATGTCTGTTAGGTCCATTTTTTTCATTACATCTGTTAGTTCTCTTATTTCTCTGTTAAGTTTCTGTCTGGTTGACCGGTCCATTGGTGAGAGACAAGTGTTAATATCACCCACTATTAAAGTGTGGGGTTTGATGTATGCGCTGAGTTCTAGTAATGTTTCTTTTATATATGTGGGTGTTTTTATATTAGGGTTGTAGATGTTTAGGATTGAGACTTCCTCCTTATGGATTGTTCCTGATATGAGTATAAAGTGTCCATTTCCATCTCTTCTATTTGATTTTAGCTTGAAATCTATTTTGTTAGATATTAATATAGCCACACCTGCTTGTTTCTTTGGTCCATTTTGTTGGAAAAACTTTTCCCAACCCTTTACTCTGAGGTACTGTCTGTCTTTGTTTGAGGTGTGTTTCTTGTAGGCAGCAGAATGTTGGATCCTGATTTCGTATCCATTCTCTTAACCTGTGCCTTTTTATAGGTAAGTTGAGTCCATTGATATTAAGTGACATTAACGACCAATGGCTGTTAACTCCGGTTATTTTTCCTGGTCTTAGTGTTTATGTGTTTCCCTTCTTTCAGTTGTGCTGGTAGAGAGTTGTAAGATGCTTGTGTTATTATGGGTGTTGTTGGCTTCCTTTGTTTGTGATTTTTTTCTTCTAGTATTTTCTGTAAGGCTGGGTTTGTGGCTACTTATTGTTTCAATCTGTTTTTGTCCTGGAATATCTTGTTTTCTACATTGATGGTGAATGCAAGCTTTGCTAGGTATAGCAGTCTGGGCTTGCATCCATGGTCTCTTAGTTTTTGCCGCACATCTATCCAAGACCTTCTGGCTTTCAAGGTTTCCATTGAAAAGTCAGGTGTAATTCTGATAGGTTTCCCATTATATGTTACTTGACCTTTTTCCCTTGCAGCTCTTAATATTTGTTCTTTATTCTGTATGTTTTGTGTTTTAATTATTATATGGTGAGGGGATGTTTTTTTGATCTGGTTGATTTGGTGTTCTATATGCTTCTTGTACCTTCATAGGAGTATCATTCTTTAGGTTGGGAAAGTTTTCTTCTATAATTTTGTTGAATATATTTTCTGTGCCTTTGATCTGTTACTCG